GAGGACCCCAGATCTTCATGTGCTGAGGCTGTGAAGGAATAAAAGCTCAACAAAGTGGGTCCTTTGCTCAGGGCCCCCCTGAGAGCCACCAGCTTTAGCTGTTAGTTATTGCACCAAAATTAAATTATTTTAAGCACTGAGACGTCTGAGACTCTGCTGTGGGAAACCTGGGCTGAGCCAGTGAGGAAACTGGTCTGACTGGGAGTGTGGGGAGTCAAACAGGGCACSCACTGGGTCACTGGAGCTGCCACTGTGAAGGGGACACAGTCCCAACTCAGATGTGGAGTGGGACTGCCAGAAGKGCTCCTGGGTGGTCAGACAGGGAAATTTCCCTGAGAGGAGAGCAAGGGGGTTGGGTGACAGCTCAGAGCAGGCYCAGGCCACTCAGAATTGAGTGAGCACAGCTGACCAGSCCGTGATTMAGGGACTGCAGCATCTCTTAATGAGCAGAGACTGTGGGAGCTGGGTGTGGTTAGTCTRGAGAAGAGAAGACTGAGAGRAAAYCCCMGAATTKCATATTAACATCTCCAAGGCAGGTGTCAGGATGGTGCCAGACTCTGTTCAGTGGTGCCCAGAGACAGACTGGGGGGTAACAACCATAAACTAAGTTCCACCTCAACACAAGGAAGAAATTCTTGCCATGGATGGTGGCAGAGCTCTGGAAAAGCTCCACAGAGCGATCATGGAGCCTCCCTCTCTGGAGAAATCCCAAACCTGCCTGGAGACATCCCAAATCCACCTGGAGACATCCCAAACCCACCTGGAGACATCCCAAACCCTTTGTCACCTGCTCTGGGTGACCCCAAGGTCCCTCCAAACCCAGCACCTCCCAGTTTCTGAGCCCCCTCACCTCCGGGATCGGACGTGGTAGCTGTCCTCCCGCCGGTGCCGCCGGTCCCGCTCGCTGCTGCTCGACCGTGACCGTGTCCGCCGCCGCTTGTGCTTGCGGCTCCGGTAGCGCTCGTGGTAACTGCCGCGGCTGCTGCGCTCCGACGAGCGGTACCTTCGGGAGTGCGGCATCTGCGGGGACAGCGGGGACTGTCAGCACTGCTGGGGACAGGGGGGATACTGACAGACACCCCTGGGGACAGCAGGGACCCTGTGAGCACTCCTGGGGACAGTGGGGATCCTGAGAGGAATCCCTGGGGACAGCAGGGACCCTGTGAGGCACCTATGGGGACAGCAGGGTCCGTGGGAGCACCCCAGGGGACAGCAGGGACCCTGAGAGCACTCCTGGGGACAGCAGGGACCCTGTAAGCACTGCTCGGGACAGTAGGGATCCTGTGAGGCACTGCTGGGGACCCTGTGAGCACTCCTGGGACGGCAGGGACTCTGTGAGCACTCCTGGGGACAGCAGGGACTCTGTGAGCACTCCTGGGGACAGCAGGAACCCTGTGAGTACTCCTGGGTACTGTGGGGATCCTGTGAGGCACCCATGAGAACAGAAGGGATCCTGCGAGGAACCCCTGGGGACAGTGGGGACCCTGTGAGCACTCCTGGGGACAGTGGGGATCCCGAAGACACCCCTGGGGACAGTGGGGATCTTGACAGACACCGCAGGGGACAGCGGGGACCCTGTGAGCACTCCTGGGGACAGCAGGGACCCTGTGAGTAGTCCTGGGGACAGCAGGGTCCGTGAGGGCACCCCAAGGATGAGCTAGGACCCTGTGAGACACCCATGGGAACAGTGGGGATCCTGACAGGCACCCCTGGGGACAGTGGGGACCCTGTGAGCATTCCTTGGGACAGCAGGGAGCCTGTGAGCATTCCTGGGGACAGTGGGGATCCTGACAGGCACTCGTGGGGACAGCAGAGATCCTGTGAGCAGTCCTGGGGACAGCAGCGATCCTGACAGGCACCCCTGGGGACAGCAGGGAACCTGTGAGGCATTCATGGGGACAGCGGGGACCCTGAGAGGCACCCCATGGGGACAGGGGCTGCGTGAGCAGCTGCATGGGGCAGGAAGCAGGTCAGAGCAGGGAGGCCACCTTTGCCCAACCAGGGGGACAGGGACCTGTGTCCCAGCCAGCAGAGGGACACTCAGGGACATTCAGAGCACCAGAAATGTATGTGAGAGTGCAGGAGGGTCTGAGAGAGAGGGGAGAAACCTCTGAGAAATCCCAGAGCTCCACAGGACAGGATGAGAACATAGGGCTGTGCTTGCCCTGTGTTTCTCTTTCCTAGGTTCATATCCCTTCTTCACACCCGCCTCTACAGCTCCAGGAACAGCTTTGGCACCTTCTCTCTTTAAGCTCCCCAGGAAGGAGGGAAGCAGCACCAAGGAGAACTGAGGGAAGGTGAAATGAAGCCCTGGATATCCCCAAAGTCCCTGTGCACCAGTGATGGAAACAGCCAGAGAGCAGGTCCCCAAAAAAAATGCCTCACATTTGCTGCCAAGCAAGTGACATCGACACTTGGAGGGGACAAAAGGGTGGGGAAGGGTCTGAAGAGACCACACAAGGAACAGCTTATGGTACTTGGTCTGTTCAGCTGGAGAAGACTGAGGGGAGATCTCAGGGCTTCATTTCACCTTCCCTCAGTTCCTCAGTCCCTCCCGAGGGAACAGCTGGAGCTGTCTCAGGGGAGATTTAGGTTGAATATCAGGAAAATTCTTCCCCCAGAGGGTCGCTGGGCACTGAACAACCTCCCCAGGGAACAGGCACRGCCTCAAGGCTGCCAGAGCTCAGGAACATTTGGACAACGCTCCCAGGCACGGGGTGGGACTGTTGTGGTGTCCTGTGCAGGACCGAAAGTGGGATTTGATGACCGCTGTGGGTCCCTTCCAACTCAGCAGATTTGTAATGCACGTCCCTCGGGAACCACCCGAGGCAAACCCACCCTTCCCAACTGAAAAAGCCCTGCAGACCCTCAGCTCTGCCCCTCTGAGGGGCACGACTCGAGCTAAGCAGAACCCAGGTGAGATGGCACAGACCCTGCCAAGCCTTGCTCCACAGCTCTCAGACATTCCCCAAACGCRTTTTGGTTCCAAGCACGAATGGTGGAATGTTAAGGGCTGGGAAGGACATTAAAGATCACTCAGTTCCACCCCCTGCCATGTGTAGGAACACCTTCCACGGCTCCAAGASCCGTCCAATCTGGCTTTAAACACCCCAAGGATGGGGCAGCCGCAGTCTCTTTGGACAATCTGTGCCAGGGTCGGAACAGAAGCCGGAGCTGCCTCTGCCCAAAGCGCTCTCGCGGCGATTTTCCCCATCCAAAATGCCCCCCGGCTGCCTCCCCGTCCCCGCCCTGCGCTGACATCATCGGCASGGCTCGGACAGGCCGAACCGGCCCCGGCGATGGGGTGACCCGGGGGCACGGGCTCGGTTCCCCGTGTACGGGGGGCTCTGCTCGGGGTCCCCCCGGAGCTTCACCATTTCCAGTCATCGACTGAAAGGAGCACGAAGTCAGCGCTGGCGGCCCGCCAAGCCYGGTCCCCGTGGAATGACCACCGGGGCGTTCCGCAGCGGGGCTGGAACCGGTTTGGGGACGGTGATGGCGGCCGCGAAAGGCGGGGCTTTCACCGTGTAAGGCCGGAAGCACCGGGACACCGGGAGATATGGGCCTCGGGCGGGGCGGTCTCGGCGGGGACGCCCCAGCCCGGCTTCCCAGAGCCATCCGGCCCCGCCGCCGCCCCCACGGGAGCACCCAGGCCGCCGATCCCCATCGCGGCCCCACAGAAACCCACAGGCCGGGCCCGCCCCGCGCCGCCCTCACCGGCCGCGGCCTACCCGCCCCACCCCGCCCCGCCCGGCGCCGCACCGTCCTCGCAGCCAGCCCGGTGCGCTTGTCCCACAGGAAATCCGTGATGGCGGCCGTGGGCCCCCGGGCCCCGCTCCAGCTCCCGCCGCCGCCGCCGCCGCCGATCCGGGTCCTGCCAGCCCGCGGGGCCGCGCACGCACGTACGCGCGTACGTACGCACGCACGTAGGCGCGTGGAGCTGCGTCACACCGGACGGGGAGAAGGGGCGGGGTTAGACCGAGGGGCGTGGCCGAGAGCGATTTGTCCCGCCCAGATCCCTCCTTAAGCCACGCCCCTTTTGAGGGTCATTGGCTCCATCGCGCGAGGCCGARGGGCGGGGTTAGCTCGGAGGGGCGGGGCGAGATAGATCGCCCCGCCCACTTCGTCCCCGAAGCCGCACCCCACCCTTCTGAGGGCGGTGGACGGTGCCGAGGGGCGGGGTTAGACACAAGGGCGGAGCCTGTGCCAAAAGCCCCGCCCATATCTCACGAGGCCCCGCCCCCTGGCGGAGTCAGACCGGAGAGGCGGGGACTATGWCCATTAGCCCCGCCCACCGTCTCCCCAAACCACGCCCTTCCTCGCGTGTCCACCGGCGATGGGGCGGGGTTATAACTAAGGGGCGTGGCCTACTGCGGGTAGCCCCGCCCTTCTCTCCACGAARCCACGCCCCTCTCCAGCTCCTCTGGCGGTGGCGGGGCTGAGCCGAGGGGCGTGTCCAGCGCGAAGGGGGCGTGTTCTTCTCTGCAAACCCCGCCCCCTCGCCCCGCCCCGCCCCGCCCGCCGCGGGGTC